AGCTCCTCGTCCTTGAGGCGGATTTGCTCTTCGAGCTCGCTCTTGCTGCGGAGCGCCTGCATTAGCTCCTGGTCCTTCTTCTCCAACTCCTCGCCCAAAGCCCGGTTGCGGGGATCAGTCCTTAACCGTTCGTGCAACTCACGACACCTATCGCGATAGCGACAGTATTTTTCCAACATCTGCAAGAAGATCCTCGACCGGACATTGGCCCTGCGAATATTTTCTACCTCCAACATGTACGTCTGCAAAACAAGAAAGCAGTTAAACTAATGCTCATTCTGCAACGACGGAGAAACAAATCGAAATCAGATATAACATACACGTAAGCCCATCACAGCTACTTCGTCCATTACCTCGACATCCGAAACATTCCTCAGGGACTCGTTTTCGGCCTCCGAACACAACAAGTTGAATTGTGGCACCAAGTTGCCTCCTTGTGTCAACAGGTTCACATCGGAGGGGATCTCAACAAGACGAACCGACCCCTCCGCATTGACCACCGAGCGAGTAATGCCCTCCTCGAACATCCGGATGTCATTAGGGTCCAAGTCAGACTCGGACTCGTATTCGTCGATCACTACTCCCTTCCCCCTCTCAGCTGCCGAAGGTGCGGTGCGACCCGTCGAGGGTGGCAACGGTGCGCTCGAGGACACGACGGTAGCATCAGGGGCCCGATTCTCCGCCACAACGAGAGGTCCTGCGTCACAAACAGCGGGGACTCCTGATTGGGTCGCTACACCAGCAGATTTCTCCTGGCTCTGACTGGTGGGAACAACCACGACCACCTGCTCCCCCTCAGCGGTAGACGTCGCAACAACTCCTTCCTCTGGGTTCTCTGGGGGTGAATCCAAGTTGATCACCGCCGGAGGGACCATCTTAAACCCTACCCTCCGCCTCTTTGTCGGCCCTTCTTCCTCCCCGGCTGATGGCGAGTCGTTCTGAGGACGGACGGTACTAGACCGACCCTCTTCTGGAGATACAGTCCGGGTCGGATCGGCCAAGGCAACAGATTCTACCGACGCCTCCCTCGACGAACGAGCTGCAGGTACCGCACTGATACGAGCGGACGCGGACGGCCGACAGAAGGCTAGTTGAGGAGCCCTGACTCTGCGAACCCTCCCTGGCCACGGCAAACAATACTCGAAAGGTAAGATCGAAACGAAAGAGAACGGGTAAAAAATAAGGGCGCTATCTTACCTGTGAGGGGCCTACGTCCGAATCTCAAATGAAACGTCGACCATGTACGAACTCCCGCCGTATGAGGAAGAATGGCCTCGACCCATTCTCGGATCCCCTCCAGAGGAGGCGGGGGTAACTTCTCGGCTGCAAAGCATCGAAATAGATCAATATTTACATGAGATATAAAGAAAACGAGGCCAAAGCGGGTGGTCTACTAGTCAAGGATGAAGACTTACGGGCGAAATTCCAAATATCTGGAAACCCAGTCGGATCAGCTACGAGATGCTCGGTCCGCACATAGAAAAAGTTATCGAAAAAACGGCGATTGGTCCTGTCGTCCATCTTGACCACTAAACCTTTCGACCCTCGGGGACGCGCATAGATCATAGTGCCGCGAATCTTTTGAGGGGCGAACAGGCTGAGCACGTGTCTCAGAGTGACCTCCCGGCCGGCTAGCTCCGCGTACTTGATAAACATGAGGAACAACTTGTACAGGTAAGGAGAGAGTTGGGCAGGACACACCTCATAATAACGGCAGAATTCGACCACCAACATTAGAAGCGGAAGTGTGTACCCCACTAGGAAGGGGTAAGCATAGAATGAGCAGAACCCAGGACGGTCGATTTGGACCCTATCTTCTCTCTTCGCCGGCACCATCTCGACATAACCAGGAATACCCCATCGTGCCCTTAAATCTGCTATTCCGATCTCCCCTATGAGAGGAGGAATATTTACCTGCTTCGCACCACCATCGGCGCTGAAATCCACCACTGCCTTCCCCGGGCAGGATAAAATTTCCTCGATCGAAGGAACATCTTCGCACTCCATTGGGTCTACGTCTCAGTCTGCCGGAGCAAGGTCCCCGGCCGTTGGAGAGATAGCCGGAAGTCTACCGAAAGAAAAAGTTCCTGTCATTTTTAACTCACAAGAAGAAGAGGGAGGAACTTTGAGGAAGAAGCGAGAAAGCTCAAGATTACCGCGAGCAAAGGAGACAAGAAAAACTCAGACTAATAGAAAGGGAGATATTCTGGGAATTCTCTCGAAGATAAGCAATAAAATGTGAGAAACGAGTGACAAATCCCTTCAATTTATAAGACACAAATTCTCCGGGGCGCAAAAACCAACGGTCACCGCCAGAACCTGGCCGGACACGAAACGATTCAGCTCCTTAGGAACGTGCGCCGCTGTGACCACCGATACAAAGCTACGTTTCATTTATCAACCGGCTCTTTAGTTTCGAAACCATCGTGACGGCATAGGAAGCATTAAAGAGACGCCTCCATGCAGTTTCGAAATTTATAACGCGACCGAAGAAAAACACGCGGATTTGACTCCCTCCACGATTACGCCGCAAACATTATCCGTCCGCCGAGGTCGGTAAGATACGACCCCGACGAACGGAGGGACTAACTGTATTGGTCAGAATCCGACCACACGACCACAGCATCAAGGACCCCGTCCCGACCACCCTGCAGTAGCAATCAACAAATTCGTCCTCGCCTAATGGCTGCTATTTATGACATAAGTGTCGAGGTCGAGGCCTCCCCATGAGGGGAGAATATTTCCCCGACCCGGCCCAAACAAAATGTGACCAGCATGAGGAGTTTTGGGCTATAAATAGAAGGAAGAAGAACCCCTTAGGGGGGGGGGGGCGTCCAGGAGAGACAAGGAGGGGAAACAATCTTAGGAAAGGAGATTCCACCTCCAAGGAGAAAAAAAAGAATTTGATTGTAATCTCCTGAACCTCTTCAAGGAGAGGCAGGCCGAATTTCTGTAATCAATAAAAATCTTCCAGGTGTCATTTTAATTGATTCTTCTATCTGTATGATTATGTTCTTCGATCCAGTATCAATTAATGTTGACTACGATTTATCCCTTCATCTACATTGATTGATTTGCTTAGAAAGTATTAACTTACTTTTGGGTCAAACAACCATTATCAAGTTCCTGTTGATAAGATCCTCCAAATAATCTTCTGCCACTTCCTCCAAGCTTTTACGACTTCTAGACATCCTTATTAAACCTTCCGCAATCCATAATTGGATCAATCTTCGAGATGCAACCTGAAAATCTTCTGGAAAGCTACCCATAAAAAGAAAGCAAGGTTTGAGGTGAATAGGCAAGTGGTGGTAACTCAAACCGAGCACTCCTAAGCATTTATCTGGATGATTAGCAACGATTTCACCTAATGTTTGGGCAACATCCTTCCAACTTTCTAATGTTCTGGTGATTCTAGAGAGATGTCCTCCAATCACTGAAATTGTTAAGGGTAGTCCTTGACATTTTTCTACTATTTTCTTTCCAATTTCTTCCAACTCGGGAGGATGATCATGTTTTGGTCCAAACACCTTATCACGAAGTAACTTCCAACCATTTTCTACATTCAAGAGGTTCATTTCATGAGGGCTACTAGTATTTGCATACATCGCTACCTTAGATTCCCTAGTAGTCAATAAGATTCGGCTCTTGTTGTGGAAATTAGGAAATATTCCTCTTATACTATCCCAAACATCGGTACTCCAAATATCATCAACAACAACAAGGTATCTTCGACCCTTTAGGTTTTTCTGCACAAGGTCGGCTAACTCACTGTCATCCTTATTAGGATAATCCTTTTCATTTATAATATTTGTTTGCTTTGAAATGCAATGTAACGCTTCTAATAACACACTTCTACATCGAAATTCTTGAGATATTGTAACCCAAGAAAGAATGTCAAAATGATACCTGATTGGGAGATGATCATAAGCTTTTGTAGCCAGTGTTGTTTTGCCGATGCCACCCATGCCGCATATTGTGACAATGTCCAGATCAGACGGTGGTCCTGTCAATCTTTTAACTATGATCTCCAAGTCATCATCGAGTCCCTGCACGATATCATTTTCCAAATTTGACAGCATTGGATTACTTTTAGAAGAAGTGCCAATCAAGGAATCCTCAAATAGTTCAAGAATTTGATCATCATCGGCATCATGAGTACTACTTGTGCTAAAATCAGAAACAATTTCCATCAATTCTTTCTTTGTTGTATCCATTTTTCAAACAATTGGCAGCAAATCCTGGTTTGTAAAATTCCAAATGTCCACCTTAAGCTTTTAATGATTTGAAAAATCTTCACCTCAACATCATCTTCTGCATCAGTAGCAGCAACTCCTATTTTTTCCTCTAAAGATTTGATCTTTTCAGGGTCGAACCAACTCTTACTAAGTTTTTCAAGGACATTGAGAATATATTCAGCAGTAGCACGAAGAGATTCGAGCGTATTAGCAGTTTGATCATGAAAGAGTTCTGGGTTTCTGTCACGACCCGGATTTTCCACCTTCGGGGGTCGTGATGGCGCCTAGTCGTAGAAGCTAGGCAAGCCACAAATCATAAAATCCTAACTCCTTTATTTTAACACCTCTTTATCATTCATAACAACAAGCGATAAATATTTAAATAACAGCGGAATATGAAATTAAAGCGGAAGACTTAAATTAAATAAGCTGAACAAAATACGGAAAACCGACATGTCCCTCTACCCAAGAACTGGTGTCACATCATCCACGGACTACTAAGAGTACTAAATACAACCGTTTGAAAGAAATATAACACTGTTTGTCTCGAAAACATGAGACAACAGAATGAAATATAAGATAGAGGAGACGTCGGGCCTGCGGACGCGTGCAAGGCTACCTCGGAGTCTCGATGGACTGAAGGCTGGCTCCCAAGCTACTGCTGATGTCCGGGACCTGGATCTGTGCAAAAGAGCACAGAGTGTAGTATCTGCACAACGGACCCCATGTGCTGGTAAGTGCCTAGCCTAACCTCGGCGAAGTAGTGACGAGGCTAGGACCAGACTATCAAATAAACCTGTGCAGTTATATAATAAACAGCGAAAAGTAAAGCAGGTATAAGCAAGTAAGGATGGGAGGGGGAAACATGCTTCGGGGAATAACAGGTAAAAGCAGAATATCAAGAGAACTATAAAGGAGTCAAAATTCAACCACTAGCAAGAATAAGGAAAACAAAGGCAGATTTCATTTTCTTTTCACATCTTGTCGCAGGCGTGCAACCCGATCCCATTTCATGTATCTCGTGGCAGGCGTGCCACCCGCTCCCATTTCATTTTACCTAGTGGTAGGCATACCACCCGCTCCCATTTCATTACATCTCGTGGTAGGCGTACCACCCGCTCCCATTTCATTATATCTCGTGGTAGGCATACCACCCGCTCCCATTTCATTATATCTCGTGGTAGGCGTACCACCCGCTCCGTATAATATTGTTGCGGTGTGCAACCCGATCCATATATAATATTGTTGCGGCGTGCAACCCGATCCAATATAATATTGTTGCGGCGTGCAACCCGATCCATATATAATATTATTGCGGCGTGCAACCCGATCCATATATAATATTGTTGCGGCGTGCAACCCGATCCATATATAATATTGTTGTGGTATGCAACCCGATCCATATATAATATTTACAATTATAACGAGAGTCCCGACAAGGGATCAAAAGGTCTACACTATCCCGGCAAGGGAAAAAGAAACAACTATAACCAAACTTGTTCCAACATCTAACTTCCTTAGCTATAACCAAACTTGTTACAACACCTATCTATCTTAACTATACCCGAACTTGTTACAACACCTAACTATCTCAGCTATACACAAACTTGTTACAACACCTAACTACCTCAGCTATACCCAAACTTGTTACAACACCTAACTACCTCAGCTATACCCAAACTTGTTACAACACCTAACTACCTCAGCTATACCCATAATCCTTACGTAACACAAAGAATCATCAACCTAAGTATCCGTAATATCAATTAAGGACACAATACAAGGGAACCACAACTCAACAATAGCCCGGCCAGGGTGCAACATAATGATCTCTTCTCTTTCTCACTTTTACTTCACAATTCACTTCACAACTCGAGCCACTGCTCTAGAGGTTCAATTATCACTTATACTTTCACAATTCGATATACAACTGGAGCCAACGCTCCTCAATGTTCATAGGTAACAATTCTTTCCACAACATAACACAATAAATATTGATCTTCACCAAGGCATGAATAATACAACAAAGTCATGAAAATCACAATATAAAACTCACGGTCATGCTTGACACCAACGTATAGATACTCGTCACCATGCCTATACGTCGTACTCAACAAGAAGCAAATAGCAAATAGGACACCACTCCTAATCCCTCAAGCTAAGGTTAGACCAAACACTTACCTCGATGCCTAGAACACAACTCAAGTCTCAATTATAGCTTTACCCCTTGATTCCACCGCCAATTCGCTCGTATCTAATCACAAATTACTTAATTACATCAATAAGTGCCAAATGAATCAACCCCAATGCATGAAAATGAGTTTTTCAAAGTTTTACCCAAAAAGTAAAAGTCGCCCCCGGGCCCACGTGGTCAAAACCCGAGGTTTGAACCAAAACCCGATTACCCATTCCCCCACGAACTTAAATATATAATTTGTTTTGAAATTGGACCTCAAATCGAGGTCCAAATCCCCAATTATTGAAAAACCTAGGTTCTACCCAAAACACCCAATTTCCCCCATGAAAATTCTTTGATTTTAGGTTGAAATCATGTTAAAAGATGTTAATGATTGAAAGAAATGAGTAAACTAACTTACAGTTGATTTGGAAGAAGATTGTTCTTGGAAAAATTGCCCAAAGGAGTTGTGTTTTGAATATGGTGTAAAAATGACTTAAAAATCGGCTAAGTATAGAAAATTGCAGGTCTCTGATATGGGAAATGCGAACAGGGGCTCGCAATTGCGAACCCCGACCTCTCAGATGTGGGAAATGCGAAACAGGGTTCGCATTTGCGAACCCTTCAGAAATTCCCAGTTTTCACATTTGCGAATGAGTGGTCACATTTGCGACATCGCTTTTGCGATTGCTGCATCGCATTTGCGACCTCAGGCGGAAAAAGGGATCTTCGCATTTGCGATCCAGGACGTCGCATTTGTGACAGGCTGCAAAACTTCCCTTCTCGCATTTGTGAGCTCGCATTTGCGAGACCTGCTTCGCAAATGCGAAGACTGCAGAACAGGCATACCAGATTATTTTCAAAATTCAAAAATGCACCCGTGGCCTATCCAAAACTCACCCGATCCCTCGAGGCTCCAAACCAAATATACACACAACCTCAAAAACATCCTACGGACTTATTCGTGCGATCAAATCGCCAAAATAACATCATAAACATCGAATTAAGCCTCAAAATCCAAGAATTCCTTCAAACTTCATAAAACATCAAATTTTCCAATTTAGGTCCGAATCATGTCAAACGACGTCCGTTTTTAACCAAATTTCACAGGAATGACTTAAACCATATATAAGACCTGTACCGGGCGCCGAAACCAAAATACGGGCCCGATACCAACACGTTCTAATCAATTTTCACTTCAATTTTCCTTAAATAATTTCAGAAAATAATTTTACAAAAAAATTTATTTCTCGGGCTTGGGACCTCGGAATTCGATTCCGGGCATACGCCCAAGTCCCATATTTTCCTACGGACCCTCCGGGACCGTCAAATTACGGGTCCGGATCCGTTTACCCAAAACGTTGATCAAGGTCAAATTTATTCATTTTAACATCAAAACTTAGCGTTTTTCACAGAATTTCATATTTAAGCTTTCCGGCTTCGCGCCCGGACTGCGTACGCAAATTGAGGGGACTCTAAATGAGGTTTTCAAGGCCTCGGAATCATAGAATTCAATTAAAAACAGGTGATGACCCTTTGTGTTGTCACATTCTCCACCTCTAAAACAACCGTTCGTCCTCGAACGGACAGAAGAAGGAAGTACCTGATTCGGGGAAAAGATGAGGATAACGGCTCCGCATATAAGACTCGGACTCCCAGGTCGATGCCTCAGGAGGCTGACCTCTCCACTGAACACGAACAGAAGGAAAACTCTTCGACCTCAATTGACGATCCTGCCGGTCTAGAATAGCCACCGGCTCCTCCTCATAAGACAAGTCCTTGTCCAACTGGACAGTGCTGGAATCTAACACGTGGGCTGGGTCGCCGTGATACCTCTGAAGCATGGACACATGAAACCCTGGATGCATGGCTAATAAGCTCGGCGGCAAAGCAAGTCTATAAGCCACCTCTCCCACTCGATCAAGAATCTCAAACGGACCACTGAACCTAGGGCTAAGCTTGCCCTTCTTCCCAAATCTCATCACGCCCTTCATAGGCGACACTCGGAGCAATACCCGCTCACCAACCATAAAAGCCACATCTCGAACCTTGCGGTCTGCATAACTTTTTTGCCTGGACTGAGCTGAATGAAGCCTATCCTGAATGATCTTGACCTTGTCCAAGGCCTCCTGAACCAGATCCGTACCTAACAACCAAGCCTCTCCCGGCTCAAACCATCCAACCGGAGACCGACACCGCCTACCATATAAAGCCTCATAAGGAGCCATCTGGATGCTCGACTGGTAGCTGTTGTTGTAGGCAAACTCCGCTAAAGGCAAGAACTGATCCCACGAACCTCCAAAGTCAATGACACAAGCTCGGAGCATATCCTCCAAAATCTGAATAGCCCGCTCGGACTGTCCGTCCGTCTGGGGATGAAATGCTGTGCTCAACTCAACCGGTGTGCCCAACTCTCGCTGAACTGCCCTCCAGAAACGCGAGGTAAACTGCGTACCCTGTCCGAAATGATAGATACGGGCACACCATGAAGGCGAACAATCTCCCGAATATAGATCTCAGCCAACCTCTCAGAAGAATAGGAGACTGCCACAGGAATGAAATGTGCTGACTTGGTCAGCCTATCAACAATGACCCATACTGCGTCGAACATCTTCCGAGTCTGCGGGAGTACAGCAATGAAGTCCATAGTGATCCTCTCCCACTTCCACTCGGGAAGCTCAATCCTCTGAAACAAACCACCAGGACTTTGATGCTCATACTTAACCTGCTGACAATTCAAACACCGAGCCACATATGCAACGATATCCTTCTTCATTCTACGCCACCAATAATGCTGCCGTAA